CCCCCCCCCCCCCCCACGCGCGCACACACACACACACACACACACACACACACACACACACACACACACAACCAGTTTTATATACGTTGTTCTTTGTTCTGTTGTCTGTCTTTCCCTTTATCTTTTCTGAAGTTATTTTTGTGTGCCCAACTGAGCACCCTTACGTAGTGCCAAACAGTCGGTGGTTCCTCGTTTGGAGTGCCGACTGCATTCTTATGGGGGCTGCTCGGTTCGGGATGTCTGCGTTGCCTGTTGGTGATGAAGGATGTTCGTCGGAGTGACTCCCTTGCTCAGTGGGTGGTGGGAACCAACAGTCTGCGGGGTTCAATCGTGATGTGAGTAGGTCATGTGCTGCTTTGCTCCGTGTTGGATGTTGGACGTCCTCGTCTGCGCTCCGCCGCTGCCTTGCTGCCTGTCCCGCTTGCTTTGCGTGTGGTTCTTTGCGGGTTGATGTGTTCGCTGTGCGGTGTAGCCGTGTTGTTGGTGTTGCATTGTGCTTCGCTGCTCCGCTGCCGTGCTGCTCATCCGTTGGCCGTGCCTTCCGTGCTTGACACTTGTGTGCCTTGTAGGTTGGTTGCCTTGTTTCTGATGCCTTGTGCTCCGCTCCACGGTTGCCCAGCTGCTGGGTCACTCGCCCTGTCGTCCCCTGCAGTGCTGTTGCCTTGCTTGTGTTGCCTTGTGCTTCACTACACGGCTGCCGTGCTGCGTGCCATGTTGTTCCTTGCAGTCGTTTTTGGCGTTGTGCAGCCGTGTTGCATCTACTGTGTTGCCTGGTGCTTCACATGGTTGCTGCCCGCTGCTATGTTCCTCTTGGGGACAATCTGCCTTCAACAAGGGTCAAAGGGTTCATGACCCAAACCATCAAACACGGGGGTTCCGCAGATTGTCGAGGGTTCAGCCTCCTGATGAGTCGGTGCAACTCCGACGAAACAATCTTTCATGAAGTTTCAGCTTTTTTGTTTTTTTTTATGCTGTTTGTTCTTTTGTCTGCCATGTTGCCTTGTTGCCGCCGCCTTATTCTTCTGCCTAGTGCTGTTTGTCTAGCCGCCCGCCTCCCCCTTGCCCTCCACCCTTTGTTCTCTGCTGCAGTGTGTCATCCAAGTACCGTGTTGTGTTCTGACCTCAGCCTTGCCATTTTGTTTGTCTTGTTGTACTTGTCTTCGGTTCGTTTTTCGTTTTATGACTATTGAAAGCTGGGCTTAATAAGCATTCTTTTCTATGGGCATCCCTGGCTGCGGGCTCTTTCCCGGTGTTGTTTATAAGCGCACTATTCAGCACAACATGCTGTAACGCGGTCGCAGAAGCCACGCAATGCATATAACACACACACACACACACTTGCGCACTTTTTTGTTTTTCTGATTGATTGATTGATTGGT